AGACATTGTTAACAGAGTAAATGTGGTGCGTTTAATAAAGATTGATTTAATTTGCACAACATTTACCTCTCTATTGAATCACAAGCCAGTGCTGCTATTGAACTTCTAACAGCAATCATTACTTGCAAAATTGATTGGAAGATTTACCACACACTTTTGTTTGCCTGCTAGGCAAAGGTTGTTGGGTTTTTTTTTTGGGACAACGCTAGCCTGTGTCACCGCATAAACCCCAATTGATTGAGCTGACGGGATTTTGCATGCGACCCGATTGCCCTGGCTGAGAGCCACGTCCATCATGGTGTTGCTCCCTCCTGGCCCACAGTCACCGGCATATTGATTTCCCATTACTGTGTCACTGTGCAAGGCCTCTTTAAACACATCGCCTGTGATGTAGAGCGGTTACAGCAACCCAGTGTCTGCAATTGAGGGATGCATCACTATCAGAGAGCGCTATGTTGCCATCTGGTGGTACTGTCTAAAACAACTCCCTGGTTTGCACACTCATGCTTATGATATGAACCACATTTTGTATCAGTAATTTATCTTCGTCTTTCTCAGTCAGTTTTGCTTCATTTAGGCTTGCACACCTCATGTTAGGAAGAAACAAAATGAACTTAAAATGGGCAGAGCTCACCATTAAGGCCATTAGATTAAAAGCCTCTTATAGATCTAAATGCAATGTCCAATTAAGAAAAATGGATATCCATCATGGTCTAGAAAAGCAAAGGTCTTGAGAGTCCATTAATGTGCAAGTTTGTGATTCATCTAAAAAAAAAAATCATGGTGCTGCATATTAAAACCAGTTAAAACCATTAAAACTGCTGGAGAGTGGAGACTGGCAGGAAATTATGGTGATAGAGCTATTTTTACAAAGCTATTTCAGCAGAAAGGCAGGGTCAAATCAGCAGAGAAAATAATAACATAATTTGTCCCCATGCCAACTGCAGCAATCAGTCAAAACATAAATGGCAAAAAAGAAAAGAAAGGTCCCTACTGACAGTCTTTTACATCACAAAGCTATTGCAGATGCAGACAAGATTACAGCTGGAATGTTTCTGCTCAACGCTTTTGATGGAAGCAGAAAGGAATTGAAAGCAGAAAAATACCTTTAATTAAAAGCAAATATTATTGTAAATAGCATTATGAAATATGTAATTAGCATTTTAATTGTAATATTTACGATAATGTTAAAGTTAATTCTTTTATTTTCCTAGAAATCATAATAATATGATTAATAAAAAAAATCAAAGCATCTCAAAAATCATAACAATATCAAAGCATTATTACTGGCAGTTCCAAAAATAATTAAAAAATAAATAAATAAATACATAAGCAGTACTAAATCAATTATATTAACATAAATTACAATATACATTTCTATTATATTTTACTATTTATAATAATATATATACATATATAATAACACATCTGTACATATTATATATTATGTAAGCATTATATAAATTATTATAAGAAGCTTAGTACTAAAGCAATTATGTTAATATTACCAGCATGTTTTATGTTTTATGTAAATTATATATGTGGCCAAATGCAACAAGGTCCAAAAATGCTTCTGACCAATTAGAAGAATTTTGTCTAATCAAGTTTTAATCCACTTAAAGGGATAAAGGAAACATGTATGAGTTTCTTCCTTTTGTTGATCATTAAAAAAATAAAAATAAAAGATATTTTGAAGAATGTTATTGTTAATAAACAAACAGTTGACGGTAGCCACTGACTACCATAGTATGGAGGGGAAAAAATATGGAAGTCAATGACTACCATCAATAGTTTGGTTACCAATATCTATCAAAACATCTTCTTTGTGTTTAGCTGAATAAAGAAACTCATTCAGGTTTGGAACAACTTGAGGGGTGAGTAAATCATGAGCGAATTTTAATTTTTGGATGAACTGTCCGCTTAACAAAAGCATAAGATATTTACCCGGTCCTCTTTTGTCCCAGCCGCAGACCATCGTGCCCATGCTGAGGCCCATGCCTTTGTACTGATACACCATGTTAGCCAGTAGCTTGGAGGCAGCTGCTACAGAAATGCGCTCTTTGTTGCGCAGCTCGTAGATGCGGCACTGCCTAGCCAACAGACGCTCCCAGAAGCTGCAGTCTGCGGCTCCTCCGGCCATGGTGCCGAGCAGGTACGGGTTGATTTCAATCACCTTCTTCACTGTCTGTGAAGCGATGTAGGAGCCGGCTGTCGCTCTGGAATCCACAGCCACAATGACGCCATGCTGAAACTGAGAGATGACAGAAATAAGAGGGTGAAGCTTGCAAACTTAATATTAATGGAGAAAAGACAACTTTTTACATTTTATTACTATTGGTACTATGGAAAATGACAAAATGCTGATGTATAATGTATTTTAATCTAAAAATTAACCAAGTAGTCAAGGCTTGGTACAGTGTGGTACAATTAGCTGGTAGATTATGAAACTAATCCATCTGGTCCTATAGAGCATCTTTGTCTATTGAGAGCCATTCAAAGTTGCCATACACAGACATTTATCTTAATGCAGCAAAAAATCAATAAATAAAATTGTAAATAAAAACTTAAAACAGAATTATACTGTCCTGTCTGCGGTTTTTCACGTCACTATTATCTGGAAGAATATTGTTGACTTAAAATACATAGAATGACACTTGATGAAATTAACAAGTCATAATTTGTTTGTTTTAACTATTAAGACTAGCACATGCTTGGGAATAATCTATTAAGTCAAAAAGTAATTTAGTGCCAATCACTCAAATGAGTATACATTATGCCACTGAAGACAATAAACTGGCAGTTAGAGTAAATCTTAACAGTTTTAACATGTAAACAGTTTGGCTACAGAGTCGTGATTATATAACACATTTGTCAGTAACTCAAACCCAGTTCTAATCTACTAATAAATGCATTCACTATAATTAAAAAGTATATTAAACGTGTAATTTCTCTCTGCATAAGATTTTGACAGATCATCTACTTACGAACAAGCAACAACTGGACACTAATAGGCAACAATGAAAAAGCACATTTTGCCGTGTCATTATCTGTCATATATATATATATATATATATATATATATCTTCACTTTGACATTCTGGAGCAAAGCTGAAGTCTGTATGAATTCATACTGTAATCAGCCCACATTTAAACTTTCATACAGACTTTTACAGAATTCGCAGCACTATAAACACGTTTTAATTCTGTTTATGACACAAGTTTGCGGTTACTGTGACTGAAATGAATGGGGCGCTGCCATTGAGGAGTCATAGACAAAACCACTTCATTTAATCCATTCATTAGTGCATATCACTCTTCATACAATAAAAACTTGTCAAAAGTACTACGCGAGTAAATAAACCAGTAAATGAGGAAACACTGGCGTAACTTACTTAGCGTTTGTGAGTAACGTTAACTAAAAAGGCTCTTGCTCTAGTCAGTTTTCCATTCAGCCTTTTTCTATTCATTACACACATTGCATAAACATTTAGGTAGTTTTATAAAAGCCACACGCTTCTGAATGTGTCATAATTATTAGGATATGACGATATTGATTGTAAGGTGGAGTAAACAGTTTTTTAAACTGGCAAGATGCTGTTAGCTGCTGGCTAAACGAACTCACTTTGAATGCTAAGGTGGTCGTGCCGTGAAGAAACTCGATTTTTCTCTCCGGTTCATCCCCTTCATCCAGCGGTTTCACAGCGAAGTTCAGACTTTCATCCAGTGCTGCTCCAAAGCCGAGATCCGTCTGGTTAAGGCCACAACCGTTTGCAAAGGGCTGGTTAAAGCGATCTGCAAAATCCGCAGACTCACTCCGCAGTACACTAGACAGCGCCATGTTTCGGATAATTGACCAGAAGCGGCGTTCTGCTTCTTGTATGTTACATGTTGAAGTTGCAAAAGTTTATGGCACCGCATCGCCATCTAACGCCTAGGATGACCGACAGAAGCGGGACTCTTGTTTGAAGCAATTAAACAGTACTTTTTACTAAATATGCCTAAACTACTCATACAAGTGACTGACACTCTGTAATGTGTCATAGTGACAGTTTTTGACTTGAAAAAAGTACATTGAATGTCACAGCTTAATAAAGTTATACAACAAGCATAGGGCTGGACAATAATTCAATATCAATATGTATCGCGATATAATTTTTTTCAATAACGGTGATAAGATTTTTAAACACATTTCCGATATTTCAGCACTTACACTGACAACATTATAGTGTCAACAAATGCAGTCTTTAACAATTTGACATTTAATAATTTTACAAAACTATATATATATATATATATATATATATATATATATATACTATATATCGGCTATGGCTTCCCACAAACACTTTCAATGAGAAAACAAAATGTATCATTAGTATCAATGGGTCTCCAAGGGTTAGACAGATCATAGCATGAAAAATCTGAATGGGTTTGTTTGTTTGGCCTTTTTATGATCTTTTGATCTTTTTTTATCTTTTTTATTATCAAATTGTTCATTCTTTTTTATCTTATTTATCCAAATGTTTAGACTTTTTTTTAAATCCGTTGTTTCATTCATTTATCAAAATATTGCTGAGTCACACATTAACTTATAAGGCAGCATTTATTGCACATTTAGGCTACATTGTCAATTATTGTACATGGACTAAATTTGTTGACTCATATATTTTTATTTATTTTTTTAAGTGGGATAATATTGATTTAAAATACAAACTCAATAAATTCTTGGTGCTTAGCTACAATATCAAGTTAAATCCAATGTGTTTGTGGTTACAATTGTTTATCTGAAAAAAATGCAGTGTATTGATAACTATTTTATTTTTTGGTTGAAATACAAAGAGTTTATGAGAACTTGTTTTATTTCCCTGTGCATTGTGGATTCTTTTTATCTGTGCTATCAAGTGAACTGCCTGACATTGTTCTACTCACAACAACTGCTATTTCTGTCCATCACATACACATTCCATCCATGTCTTTTTGTATTTCCACAGTTTGTGTCCCTATCCACAGTGTACTGAATATATATCACCTTCCCCTTCAACCAGCTCATCCCCCTCTCTTTTCTGTCTCTCTTTCTCCCTCTCCTTGATCTTCTTCTTCTCTCTCTCCCTCTCTCTGTAGTACTCCTCCTTCAGATCTTCTCTGTCTCTGCGTCTCCAGCCATGGGCAGTGATGTGGAAAAGGTCTACATTATTCCCAGAGTAGGCGTCCCAGTGAGTGGCTCTGAAAACAGCCTCCCGGGCCAGTGCCACTGCCTCATCCACAGTCATTCCCCATCTCCAACCATCATCAAGCACAGCGTACGCATAGGGTGACCCTGAGCCCACTGATATTATCTCTCCTTTCAGTTGCAGGCCATCACTGCAAACATAGCACACCCTGGGACCAGACCGTCCTCCAAAAGTAGACAGAACGTTTTTTGTATTTTGATTTGACACAGTTGGATTCAGTGCTTGAGTGTCCTTTGAGATCTCATCCTGCTCATTTATAGAGGCCATTTTCACACCACCTTGAGCAGATACATCTGAAATTGCGGATACATTGCTATCCTGTTCCACTGCTTCCTTAACATCTGCGATTTCCATGCAGGACTGTAGTGTATCTTGAGTTTCTTCTCCATCCCATCCACATAGAGTAGCTGCCACACACACATTAGTGCCTTTGAATGGATGAAGCATCGTGGAGAGCAGTTTTGCAGCCCCATTGATGCTTAGTCTCTTGCGATGACGAAGCTGGTAAAGCCTCATCTCACGGGTAAGAATCCGTTCCCACAGCATACAATCGGCACCACTGCCCGAGGTGTTGACCACCAGGTGAGAGTGGATAGGCATAATCTTTTGACTTATCGGGCAGCAAATTAGACCTTTACAGCTGGCACGAGTGTCTGCAGCAGCTATCACGCCATCCTGAAATATAAAACCCAAAGTTGTGGTACCATGGGATAGCTGAAAGGGTTGTTGATGAGGTGACAGACTGGAGAAAGTTGAAGAGAAAAGAGTTGGTGCTCTGTTTTTTCTGCTGCACTGCTGAGGGGGGAAAAGAAAATGAAAAGCACTATCTCTGTCAAACTCAAACGGTGTCCTCCACATGTATCCCATCTCGTTTGGTAGGTAAGTGCATGGGCTGATGTCATCAAGAGTCTCCAGGAAACCACAAACATCCTGAAGAGCCATTTTCCATTTATAGTGAGATAATGGCTAGACATTTGGTGCAGAGTTGAGCCTTGGAAGCCATGGAAGTCGTACTTACAAAAAAGACTCCTCTAAGTCTTTATATGAAGTGGGGAGTATTCACACCCACACACATACATACGCATGTGATGTCTCAGCAAAAATCTTTGCTACACTAGGCTATACCTGATATGCTTCTGTGGTCACCACTGAGGCACAACAGTGAAGCGACTCTTCAAACATAATCATGAAAATGCTGAGATAAGAGTGTAATGTGCTCAGTCTGTTTTTCCACACACACACACACAAGGACTAAAATGCAAACCTCACGAAATATTTTCAAAAAGGTTTATGTATAGTGAAATAAACCATATGGATTACAACACTAAATTCAAACGAAATGTGTATGAAACTATTTAATGGTTTGATTAAATGTTTTTTACAATGCTTTTTTTATGCAGGTGAGTATTGCCATTTCCCTAAATCTTTTTTCATGATTTACAAATATTTGATTACAATAATAAAGTATATTGGTGATACCATGGTTTAACAGCATGTTTTAAGGTTGTTTGTGGTTTTAATTCATAAATTATTTCCTCCAACCAGGAGCCATTAGTAAAACAAAGTGTAAAGAGGGTGGCACACTGGACAAGAGGCATGTCTTTACAATTTGAATACATTAGAATACACTCTGATAATTGTGTTTTTATTTCTATTCCAATTTTATTTTAATTTTATGATATACACAAACAATGGTTGACTGTCATAAGCTTTCAATTCAATGTTGCAGAATCAGATTTATTAATAAATGTATTTAAATCTAAGTGATAAGTGATTTCTTGTGATTTGGTTCTGATATTTTGTGGCTGGGGTAAGAGATGTGAGCAACTAATTCAATCTGTTTTGGATATCTATTCTACTTCAGGCAACAATAAAGCCTTCAAATATTATTTGTAAAATTCCAGGGCAAAATCCTTTTGGCACACAGGTTTAATCTGGAAACAAGAAGAGCTCAGTTTAATTAAAATAATTCGTTGCCGTGGATATTCATAATTCACTACTCAATTCATAATGAATTATCCTGTTGTATCAAAAACAAGCTGCTTATTACATAAACGACTCAACCCCTTAAAACTAATTAAACGTTCTCTCAAAGTTATTGGAGCAAATTCGACTTCGTCAGCGAGCGCATCATCTCTTTGGGTTTTCTGCAGCATCACGTCTGCCGTAGTCTGATCTCGTTCTGAAGTCTCGCGATAGGTTCGTACGAGAAAGAGAAACTGCGTTTCAGGCAATCGCCATTTTGGATCTATCCCCCATTTGTTGCTAAAATGCAAGCACTCTTGCATTGAGCCAAAATGTCATCAGTTTCTCTATAGTCCTGTCTCAGTTTCATTTTCCCTCCCATCCCGTCTCTTAACGATGGCGTCCGGCAGTGCTGGTAGCAGGGTCTCCTGCGGGAGAGATTTGAGTTGTGTTCCCGAAGTGGCGGATACCCTCGCGGCGGTCGCCAAATTAGGGTAAGCAAAGGGAGCTTTCGGCGCAGTAACCAGGCAAATTATATCAGCGTTGTTGCTAAATGAAGTGAAGTGTGCTCAGTTTGAAGTTGGCTCGGCTAGGTCGCTGCACGTGATGCACATGAGCATTTGCTAGCTGTTGGCGGCTTCTTCAGATTTGCTTTTAACTCACATATGCGTTTGCACACCAGTTTTCGGCAATAACATTCGGATTTCTTTTGAAACCTTTATAACACCTGCAGAATAGATGTTTATATTTTTTTATTGGTTCGTCTTAATATTTATGTTTTTGAGTGGATTCATTCAGTCTTGTTGATGAGACATGTTCGTTTTCCAGCACAAAAATTGTTGCAGAATTATTACTGAATACAGACGTATTACAATTTACATCTGTTCAGTTATTATTCAAAGTGGAGGCGATTAGAGATGCATGCATTATATTTAAAGATCTGGCCTCATTGACTGATGGGATTGTGAGCCTGAAGGGAGAGGCTGATCATTTGACAGCTGAATAAAATCGAAATCATAGTATTATAAATGATTTATCACTGTATTTATATGCTTTTTGTTTTGTAATGCCACACAAGCTTGGTGTTTCTGAATTAAAAATATGTACTTTAGTGATTCCTAAGCAAGGATCAGTAAAGTCTGGAAGACCCCTCCCCTTTGATGACATTGTAGACTTTTGGCATTTACTTGAAATACCACCAGTATCTGTTTTCTTTGTGTGGTCTGTTTGTCTAAATGCATATCATTCTGTCCTATAGCTTTGATTTCCTGTGCATGCCGCTTTTCCACCCGCGGTTCCGAAGGGAGTATGAACTGGATCCTTCTAAGTCACGGCCCGGAGCCCAAACACGCTCTGACCTGTTGTTATGTGGCAGAGGTGAGATATAAGAAAATCTGTGCATCTAAATATTCACTCATCCAATACTGTCAGTTGAGGGGGAAAAAAAATGTTTTTGAGGTTTAAAGGGATCATGTCATAATAAAGTTTTCTTGATCTTTTGAAGTGATAGATCAATGTAATTTGAAAACATATAAAACACATTGGAGCTGTCGGAACTCAAAAACTTCCTACCTAGTCCAAAAAGACTTTTTTGTTGAAGCAAAACATCTGCATATTTCTGATGTCAGATAGAAAAAAAATTACTAATACATGGCAGCCCTACGTTTGCACATCAATAATGACTATTTGGTATTCAGAAACTTGTACCACCCATGATGGTGAGATCATTTAGAGGAAGTCAAATAGATAGTATTAAGGCCAGAAGAATTAATGATAAGAGTGAAATGCTATAAAGTCACATTTCACATTCAAAGACTGACTTAAAAGCAATCTATTAAAGAATAGATAGGATAGGATAGAATAGATAGAAAAAAAGGGTCAGAAAGAGAGTGGAAAGTGGTTATGAAACCTAAATCATGACTATTTTTGCCACAAAAACCTTAACTAGCTTTTAAACGAACCTCGGGACAAAATATAATGATTAAAGATTGTGTGATAAGACCCTTTAATGTCACTTCCTCATTAAGTTTCTTTTTAAAAAAATTAAAGATTGAATAGCTAACGTGTTCTCCATTTTCTTTGTCCATGATACTCTGTGCAATTACATTTACAGAATTACATACAGTACACTTAGACATTACGATTATATCTTTGTAATAAGATGTCCATTCTTTCTTTATTAGATTGGAACACTCTTATCGTGGGAAAGCTGTCACCCTGGATTGAGACAGACTCAGAGTTGACCACAGAACGCAGGAATTCAGAAGCAGTACGTTCACAATGTCTTGTTTATTATTATTTTGTAATTAAGTATATATTTGAGGTCCTTATTTTTCTCTTCAGATTCTTTAAATATATTCCTTGTCTAATCTGATAGGCAGATATTATTAATTTGCTGTTACCTATTGTTGTGTCACAAATGATGCATACACGATGCAATGACCCTGTTGGGCTTTTGATAAACACTCTGCAGTGTCATTGTAGCTTTAATCAAGAGTCAGATGCAAACGAGGGCCATTTATTGGAGATCTGCCCAACAAAGAGGAAGCCGCGCAGATTTGTTGTTTATTTTGATGTGATCACTCCTTCTAATGTCTTTTGTGCCCTTGCTGCAGGCACTGGTACAGGAGCTCAATTTCTGTGCTTATCTGGGGCTGCCAGCTTTCATGATCCCCCTAAGGGGTCCACACTGTGCCAACCTGGCTCGAATCCTGCTCAACCACATCCACACAGGACACCACTCTTGCATGGTAATGGCAATCTGTAGCATAGAATGAAAACAAATATGCTCAGAACTCTCCATTATTTGTTTATCTATACACCAAGGGCCTATCATTTACGCATAATCTTCATCCCTGCTGCTTCCTTCTTTTTTTTCGCTGATGGAAATTTAATTAGTGGTGTGAGTAGACTGTTTATCATTTTCACTTGCTGTCCATCTATTATTTAAAATAATACTATATGCATTATCCATGGAGTGATGAAATGATCTGATCCTTTTGCAAAATTTATTGGGCTGTCATTTTAACGCAATAATGTGCTTAATTATATTTAAAAATACATATTTCCACAAAAATATTAAGCTTCACAACTGTTTTCAACATTGATAGTAAAAAAAATGTTTCTTGAGCAGCAAATCAGCATATTAGAATGATTTCTGAAGGATCATGTGACACTGAAGATTGAAGTAATGGCTGCTGAAAACTCAGATTTGCATCACAGAAATAAGTTACATTTTAAATTATGAAAAAAGGTATTTTAAATTATTATAATACTTTACAATATTACTGTTTTACAGTATTTTTGATTAAATTAATACATCCTTTGTGAGAGATTTCTTTCAAAAACATTGCAAAAATCTTACTGACCCCAAACTTTTAAGTGGTAGTGTTTTCTATCATGCTGGCTTACTAGAAAGTAAGTTATTAGAAACATTTGTACAAAATACAAAGACACAACCTCTGTTCCAATAAGGTCACAGTATAAACTCAATTAAAATGCTAAGCCACGTGTAAAGCATCAGTGTGCAAGCACAAACAAATCCATTTGCTTTTCTTTCAATTGGTTGTAATGCTGCTTTCTTTGTTGATTAGGAATTAATTAGTTCAGTGTTGATTTGTTTTTAATTACATAGTTTTGGATACGCGTTCCACTGTTAGCTCCCGAGGACACGCGTGAAGATCTCATCGAGAACGAGTCATTTAAACAAATGGATGATGGCAGCAATGATGAGAAGACCTGGGCATGGTGAGGGAGCTGAAATAAAGCCATTTGTTCAATTAAATAAAGATATTAAATATCTAATTAAAACATCCCATGGATGAATATGAGTGTTTTTTTCTCTCCTAACCCATATTTGGGTCTACTGTGTGATTAATTCACTCAACTACATGGAGAACAAAGCAATCTTTGGCCTCTGTTCATTTAATTTCCTTTTTCCTCTTCAGGTGGCACTCATTCAGAACACTCTGTGATTA